CAATTAACCTCAGCATGTTTCTGGACTGTGGGAGGAAGCCGGAGAACCCGGAGAGAACCCACGCTGCACGGGGAGAACATGGAGACTCCACGCAGAAAGATCCCGGGTGTCCTCACCGGGATGCAAACCAGGCAACGGTGCGAACCACTGAGCCCATTAGACGGCTCAAAGGAAATCAAAACTCAAGTAAAGGCTCTTGATAAGAGTACTTTATGACTCAGCTGACCTGGTTCTGGTTCTGGTTCTGGTTCTCAGCAGACCGCTCCAGATCACCGCCGCCCCGACTGCAGTCGCTCTGACCCCTTTAGTTTTCAGCCGGGCCCCTGAAGCAAACAAAAAGCCTGAGGATCTCAAAGTGCATATCGGTGTGGACATTACAAAGAGGTCAGAGATACAGCACAGCCAGGAGAGGGTGTCCAATCCTGGTCCTCGAGGGCCACAAACCTGCATGTCTTAGATGCTTCTCTCTTCCAACACACCTGATTCAAATGATCATCCCATCATCAAGCTCTGCAGAAGCCTGATAACGATCCTGATCATTTAAATCAGGTGTGTTGGAAGAGAGAAGCATCTAAAACATGCAGGATTGCGGCCCTCGAGGACCAGGATTCGAAGCTAAAACAGGAGTGATGTACTGGTGTCTGTTACCTCACAGCTGCTCTAATCTGATTTCCTGTCACAAACGACATTAGGATCATCAAATCAAATCAAACTTTATTTATACAGCACTTGTCATACATGTAGCAACGCAAAGTGCTTCACAGCATTAAAAACATTATCAAAGAAAAAAAAGTACAGAAAACCCGTCCCTCCCCCTCCATGTATACACATGCACATATGGCTACGCACACACACACACACACACACACACACACACACGCACACGCACACAAACACACACACACACACACTCTCACCACTGACTGTAGGGACACATGGTACTGAGGCTTGTGGAAAACGCTACCGATTGGGGCCGTCCACACCAGGAGGGGTCACAGACCCTGACAAACAAGGGGACCCCCACACCGAGGTGGGGAGCCCCTGAACCAGCCGGGCCGAAGGGACCCACCGACAGAACCCTCAGCAGCAGACCGGACCCAGCCCCCCCCGTGTGGAGAACCCCCCCCCAAGGAAACACTGGAGTTAAATAAAAAAGGCTCGATGGAAAATAAAATGAAAACAAAAAGAGGAAAATACATAAAGATAATAAATAAATAAATAAATGATAAGAACATAAAAAATTTAAAAAGCCAATTAAAAGCCTAAAAAGGTGCATCTTTAACCTTCTTTTAGGCAAGTTGTTTGTGTTTTTGTGTTAAATTTCAGCTGGACTAAACGTCCGATGTGGTTTCTAACTGGCTGTGTTTTATTGTTGTTCTTCGAAGCCGGCGATTTTCAGTAAACCTGCAGATCAGAGAGCGGCTGCTGTTGCTGTTGAGGAACCTAAAACCGAAGCGTGCGTCGTTTCCTCCTGCGGGGATGATCGCAGGGTTACGCGCCGCAACAAAAAGGACAGTTTGCTCTTGTCGAGCTCTTGATACCTTTTTGTCTGTGTGGGAAGTGTTTGCGAGAAGTTGCAAATGGATTTCTGATTTGGGAAATAACATGTTTGTCCACTTGCTGGGAGACAGTCGTGTGGGTGTAGTTCAAGTACGGAGCAGCCCGGCTCAGCTGTGGGCGTGATGAGGACAAACACAGAAAACAAGGGGTGATGGGTCGATTTCAGGAAAGCAGACAAGTTGCAGAAAGACGGTTTTAAACATGAGAGGCGAACAGATTTGCCGGCTCCTGCTATTTGGGAGACGGCTTCACCAAAATTGTCGTCTATTCAGAATGAAATTGAATTTTTGGTATTTTCTGGCCGAAGAGGGTTCGTAGAGAGTCGAGGAAACCTTAGAATAAAAAAACGGAGACTCTGATGTCAACAGGCCTGTTATTGAACAATCATCTCTGATTGATGTAAAATTGCTTCAAATGGAAAAAAGTCTTGTTTTATTTTCACTGCCTCACATCTGCCGCATGTTTTTCTGCTACTACCTTAGTCGTGTACTTTGTAGAAAGTCCTCTGCAATTAACTTCATGTTTCTGTCTTGGCTCCGTAGAAAAAAGGTTTCAGCTTCTCCAGAAAGGTCAGCGCCACAACCAGGCCGTCAGATTGTTGTTATTACATATACACCGATCAGGCACCGTATTAAAACCCCTGACAAGTGAAGTGAATAACATTGATTATCTCGCCACACTGACACCTGTCAAGTGGTGGGATATATCAGGCAGCGAGGGAACACTGGGTTCTTGAAGTTGATGTGTTGGAAGCGGGAGAAATAGGCGGCGTGATGAGCTGAGTGGCTTTAACGAGGACTGAACTGTGGCGCTGGACGACTGGGTCAGAACACGTCCGGAACAGCAGCTTTCATGTGCAGAAGTTAGTCTCTACTCAAAGCGGTGTGACTGCTGATGTTGCAGAGCTAAAAGTGTAGTATTTCCATTTGAGTGTACAAAAGTATCTTTAAACTTCCTCACTAAATGGGTAAATGCTCCATCACTGGAGCATGCTGGGAAATGGACACCGCTGCCAAACCGGTTCGAGAAGTTTCTGTCAGTGTCTTGAAAACTTTTTGTTCGAGTTAAGCTGAGTAAGAATTCAGTCGTTCCTGTAATAGTTGTAGAGCAGCGCTAGTGGAAGTGTAGCGGTTGTGTACTCTCTTCTGCGTTGTGAAACATTAAAAACCCAGACCTCGTGTCTTTTGGTTCCAACCAGCCGTTTATTTTCCCAACTTCTGGACTTCTGGACACACATGGAGACGGGACACACAGCAGTCACGCGGGGCTCACCCCTCAAGTCAGCAGGGGCCCGGCAGCGGGCGTCAACATTACATCCCGTCCCAGTGGGGAAACCAGTACATTATAACATTACAAATAAGGCAAACAATTGTATCATAAAAAGAGATGGCAAGTGGAATCATTAACTCCGCTACATAAGCTCACACCATACATGTGGTGTGTGTGTCAAGTTTTTAAAGGAACAAAATGTGAGATTTTGCATTTTTCATGAAGCAGAAAACAACTGTCGTCTCTGTAAACGGCGTCCTCCACAGAGGACAAGGCCACACTTCCTCTGTGTTGGACCTTCCTTGTTCTTCTCCTGTAGTTTTTGTGGTTTTGTTTCGATGTGATGTGAGAATCTGCAGCTCGAGACATTCGTCAGTCACCGCTCTTTCCTTCAGTCTGAACTCTCTAAAAGAGGAAAACATCAAAGTGATATTTCAGCAAGACACTTTTCTGGTCCGCTTTCATTATTCCTGTCATGTACTTAAGGTATTTGTTGGTTTAACATTCCCCCCCACAGGAATCATTAAGGTTTCATTTCATCTCCCTGCATCTCCTCTAATCTGATTCCTCCTGCCCACGCCGTGGGTGTTCTTACTTAGAGCCTCCTGCATGTGTAAGACGTGTGAATCCACAGAGCGCTGTGACGAAGCATCATTGCCTCGCACGCTCGCTAAGTTCAACCTTTCTCTTGAATCTAAACAATTATCCACTCTAAGTAGAGTAATTACAGCGTCAATACTATTATTTATCCCTGCAAGAGAGCCGGGAGCTTTTATATTCACGTCTTAACAGCTCGCATCAGGAGAATGGCCGTGAACACTTAAATGTGACACGACGAGACTCAAACAAACGCTGCTAATTTTTTCATCACGAAAACACACAAGGTTAAGATCACAAATTTAATGAGTTGGAAGATATTGCCTCCACGTTCACCATGCGAGCTGTCACATTCCCTAACATTTAAAAAAAAATAAAACTCTAACATTTAACAATTACCAGCTTAAAGACTGCAGTATTTATAGAGACAAAGGCTTCACATTACAGTAATCTGTCAATACTGAAGACGCCCCCAGACCGAGCTGTCAGGCGGCCGTCACTTCCTGCGATGTCAGAGGAGGGTCGGATGGCTCTGACTCCATTTAAATCAGGAAAGCTTGATAGAAGTAAACACAATCGCACATGAATCTCTAAAGAAATTGTTGGTTTAGAGACAGATTATTATTTTAGAACTCTTTGAAAAGTGATTTACTCAAAGGAAATGAAATATTCTAATATTCTGACATACAGGACTTCTGATTTTCATGAGCCACAATCATCGACTTGAAATACTTCACGAGTCTAGAATATACTGAATGTGAACTTTCTTAAATAACTGCTCAAAATTTGATCATAAAAGGCATAGCTGGGAGTGATTTCTTTTTTGATTTATATAATGTCATAAGATCCCAATCTTCCAAAGAGTAGAGCATCCGCCCATAATTCATGTGATGGAGGGTTAAGCTCATAGCCTCAAGTTGTACACTGCATGCTAATGGCAGTAATGAGACTTAAAAAATAAAAGCTAATGAGTGTTTCTGTCGCTGGGGCAGACCGTAGTCTTGCCACCGTGTTGTTTTTCCCACTGGGGAAGCTGCATTTGAATAGCCGGAGTGTTCAAGCTTTCAGGAGACCAGCAGGAGCTCCTATAACCCAATTGACTGACTGATCAATTACAGCCCTGCGTGTTTGAAATGACTGATATGGGGAAACTGATTGACAGTCGGCGGGTAAAAATAGACCCTCCTTGGAAACACTGATGGAGGCTGAAGTGGGAGGCTGCGGGTTTTCCCTGCGGAGCTTTCAGCTTCGTGTGCGGAGCGGCGGCGGAGTCGTCTCATGCTCTCTTTGAACATTTCAGGTTTATTTGGATTCTGAGCTTCATATCTGGATTGACAAAAGAGAATTAAAAGAGGCAAAACAAAATAGCGAGCTCATCAGTTATTCATGAGCCTCCACTTCTTATCTTTTGAAGTCGATTCCTCTTTTTTTTATTCTCACTTGGGACTTGTCTTTTTTTTTTTCTCTCTTTCCTCCTCCTCCTCCTCCTCCTCCTCCTGGATCTTGAACGATCCCCTCCTCCCAAAACCTCCTCCACGTGAAGACACGATGCTTGTCTCAATTTGAGCGATTTGTTTACCCTGTGAGATGTTGGGTTTGTGGTCGTCTCTTGTGACAGCCTCTCCTGGGATTAAAAATACTTTCCCAGATATTAGTCCTGACGCCAGGGAGGAGCGATGACAATGAAACAGTTCTGTGTTTGACTTTCTTCTCCGTTTCTTTTTTGCACCTTCCTCAGATCTCGCGGATCGGCCTGATTGTTCACAAAACCAAGACGCAGGAATTCCAGGTTCTCGCGGGCTCAGCAGGGTTTCTGATGGCCGCCTATTGTGTCGGTAAGAAGCTCTAAAGCAGGACTAATGGTGCTGCTGTAGGAGCATGTTCTTTACAACCAAACTAAAAGAGTTCACCGTGTTGTTGTTGTTGTTTTTTTTTTTTGGTATAATTTTCATTTTGATAACTTGTCAACAACAAGGAAGTGCTCGCCTCCAGCTGTCAACACAAAGCCTCACGTTCTGGGCCCACTTCCTGTCGCCGTCTCAGATTTCGCACACTGTCCAGATGAGCGGCTCTCTGGAGGGATTGTGTGTCACCGTCTACTGCAAAATATTATGGATTATCTTGATATTGAGGCGCACAGAATGCATGTCCTCGTGCAAACAGTACATACTTTACAACCAGTTTTATCCCAGAACAACATCCAGGTTTCATTTCACTGCAAAGCCAATTAGCAAAACTATGGGAACCCCTTGACATGGGAAATCCATCACAGAGAACAATTAGTAATCTTTAATTATTTTGCATCAGTTTTCATTATGATGCAGCTGATAAGACTGCACTTTCCCGTTCACCCTGTGGGTGTAGCTGCAGACACACCTCTGGTGGAGGTTCGGCTCAGGGGATCTGCCTTTTACACTGGAAGCTAAAACGTAGCTGTGAAAATGGTGCAGAATGTCAGCGATGGTGATTAAGAGTCATAAACATATGAGATACACGAGAAAGATTTTGGGTAATTACAAAAATGAGCTCACAAACCTGGAGACTAATTGTCTGAGTAGTTCGTTTACACTAAACATCATCAAGTCCCCCGTTGTAAGTACAGCACAGTAACTAATCTGGTAAACAGACCTCAAGGATAGAAATAAACATGAATACTTTGATACAATCCGATCTCACTGTTACGATCCAGCCTCCAGGATCAGCTGGATGTCACTACAAACCAGATGGTTCAGGTAGTTTATTGCTCAGTAACATAAATGAACACAACTGTGACGATACAAAAGAAGATGGTGGATGTTGCTACGAATCAAAGAACCAAACGAAGGCTGACAGAGTAACTAAACTAAACTAAACTCTTTAGCCGAAACCTACAAGCAACATCCATACAAAACAAAAGAAACTAAAACAAACTGGTGCCTCCAAACACAGAATACGACGACACAGGACACGAGGAACTTCCTCACAAAGTTGGGCAGCTGCTAACGGGAGTCATCGTCTCCACTGAGAACTTCACACCGAGTCAGCAGCTGCCAACAGAAGCTACATGTCCACAAATTCAAAAGTCACAAAAGAAGAGGCACCAGGTCTGAGTGTTCACACTGAATCCCAGCCAGCCCCGACTGAAAGGCTGCCGGTGGACTTTATAGCCAGGTGTGGTGATTGCTGAGGTGGTGGAGGAGGAGTGGTCCAATGAGACGTGACCGGAGGCGGGACAACAAGGGCCAGAGTGCAGGGCTGTGTCCGAAATCACCCACTCATTCCCTCCTCCCTATATAATGATCGCTATGTAGGGAGCACCTCTGCAAAGTAACACTTCAGCCACTACTCCAGCTGTTAATTACGTCGCTCGTTAGCCGCGATTTGTGCTGCAACAGCGTCGTACAAACACGTCAAATTCCCAGTTTATTGCTAAGAAATCAAATTAAATCAAGTTTGTTGTCATTTTGCTGCACATACCAGATGAGAGAGCGTTTCTTCAGGATCCAGTAACTTAAAGCAATTTAAATAAAGTAGTGTTGTATGTGCACATCAAAATCCAGCGCTGCAATTTTAGCCACGTTCACTGTCCAGGTAAAATAAAATTTAACAAAATAAACGGGAATTTTTTGCACTCTTGTTCGTCTCGTTTCCTTTTGCACAATGCATGATGGTCCATATCGCTCGGTTAGTGACCATCAGCTGTGCGCTGCTTTTCACGGTGCATTGTGGGATATTTTGAGTGCACTACATAGGGTGTAGCGTTTGTAACTTAACATTCAGACACCCCTACTATGCCCTGTATAGTGCACTATGTAGGGCATAGGGAGTGATTTCGGACAGAGCCCAGGTCTTCAGCTCCGGGTTAATTAGCCGAGATGACTGGCAGCTGGTGTCCGAGCTCTCAGCCCCCCACAGCTGGACCTACACCGGTCATCTCCACATGCAGTGGTCACAAGTCCACATGACAAAACGGCACAAACACTGAGACCCACAGATCTGATAAGGAAACGTTTATATATATATACATGAAACATATGATCTCAACTTCCAGGTGCTGCCAGATCGACACGAACCACATCCCCTCACTTTTCTATTTGTATAAGGAATCGCTCCTCTTGCATTTCCACGTCCCGGCCACTTGTGTTAACTGATCAGACGCTTCTGCTCGTTCCAAAATCCAACTTAAGAGCACTGGAGGATTTTACAAGTCTAGTTGCTGCCTCGAAACTTTGGAACTTTATCCCCCTTTTTCATCTGAGCTGCTTTGACCCAGCAGATAGCAGTAGTAGTAGTAGTATGTAATTTATTTGATTTTTAGTTGCTTTTTCACTACATCAGCCGCAGCATTGACACCAGAACCGGCCTGAGCTACACAGACCGTGTCCTGTCCAAGAACGTGTCCTGTGGTATCAGGGCACCGGGATGTTAGCAGAAGATCCTTTACGTCGTGGAAGCTGCGAGATAGGATGGATCAGATTACTTCTTCCAACACTGATTTGCAGAATTTGGAGGCCAAGTCGACACCTTGGACTCTTCCTTTGCTTTGTGGTGCAGTTCTGATGCGTCCCGATGGGCCAGCGTTGGTGCTCTGTTGGATCCGTGCAGCTCCATACGCAGCAATCTGTGGAGCGCTCTGTCACAGCCAGCTGTCGGGTTTTCAGCAGTTTGTTCTACAGAAACTCTTCTGTGGGATCGGCCACAAAGGCCAACCTTCACCTGCAGCGGTTTGGTTCTGGAGGTTCTGTCTCTAGTTGTCCTTCCTTGGAGCACTTTTGATAGAAATGAACCACTGTGTACCAGGAAACTCCCCCAAAGACCTGATGTTTTGGAGATGCTCTGACCCGTCGTCTAGCGTCACAGTCGACCTTCTTCACAGCAGTGAAAGCAGCAGCGATGTGAAAGAGTAGATAAACATAGGTGTGACTAATCATGTTAATTAAGACCGTACCTGAATAGAACAGAACCGTCATTAATGTCATCAGTAACACCTGTGTTTACCCACTCGAAATGTACGCCATAAGAAAAGGTCTGTTTGGTCCTTGTCAGACTCTCTCAGATCCACACGCTCGCTTGTGTTTCCTGCTTCCAACACATCAACTTCAAGAACTCGTGTTCACTTGCTGCCTGATATATCCCCACACTTGACAGGTGTCACTGTAGCGAGATAATCAATGTTATTCACTTCACCTGTCGGTGGTTTTTAATGTGTCTAAGTATTCACTGTGTAGCTCCTGCAAAACCTCCACAATGAAACCCGGTGCATGCAGCATATGCACCACTTTCTGATAACAATCCCACAGTGTGGCTGTCAGAGATAACGCATGAACAGAAAGTATCCAAAATCTCATTTTACTGCTCACGATGGAGTAAACGATGGAGTGTCCAAGTACTGACTGAGCTGCTGTGGAGCTGAGAAGCACCAGAAAGCATTTTGCATCCCTATGATTCCAAGACGGGCTGCCAGGTGGCGCATCAGTTGGCGTCCCGGTGAGGACACCCGGGATCTTTCTGCGTGGAGTCTCCATGTTCTCCCCGTGCAGCGTGGGTTCTCTCCGGGTTCTCCAGCTTCCTCCCACAGTCTTGAAACATGCTGAGGTTAATTGGTGATTGTAAATTGTCCGTAGGTGTGAATGTGAGTGTGCTTGGTTGTCTGTCTCTAAGTGTAGCCCTGTGATAGACTGGTTACCTGTCCAGGTGAACCTGCCTTCACCCTGAGTCAGCTGGGATAGACTCCAGCCCCCCATGACCCCAGTGAGGATTAAGCGGTGAATAGATGATGGATGGATGGATAACTCCAAGACTAAATATTCCATTAATCTTTTCATAGACACCATCAGGTGATCCTCCGCAGCTTCGATCAGATTAAATCATGATTCCAAAATATTACCACCTGCATCTGGGGATTTTTTGGTATTTAACAGAAGTTAGCAGCTTTTAACAGTAACTGGAGGCTACAAGTTGTGCTTAAAAACACTTTGTGCATTCTGAATTTGCTCTCGCTTTGATTCGAGGCCTCTAACTGGATCTTTTGTTGTGAAGGCAGATTGGGTTCATGCATCTAAATTTGCAATTTAATTCTGAGAGTAGATCACATTCACACACCAGTGGCCACAGAGCTGCCATGCAAGGTGCTGCATGCCTGCCACTGGGAGCAACTTCAGGTTCAGTGTCTTGCCCACGGACACTTTGGAGGGAATCGAATCGCCAACCTAGCGATTAGAGGACAACCCGCTCTACCACCTGAGCCACAGCCATGTGCCAAAATGATTAAACACACTCTCCCAGAATTAAAACTGAAATAACTTAAACTGAACAACTGAAATTGGAGTCCTGCATTTCCACATCAGGCAACACGAGCATTTTTATTCACATTGTCTTTGAAGCGGGCTTTGGCTTTTTCCTTCATAGGTGAGTGTCCTGCTTTCACCTCCCTCCTACGTAGAACTGGTTCTGAAAAACAAAACGCAAATCATGCAGCAGACAAAGTTAGAAGATGAAGTATATTTTTCTCCAGAGCCCTTAAAGCCTAAACCATATTTCTCAAACACAGAGGGTCGTCTGCCTCCAGCGTTGAACCAGCAACTCCTCTTCAAACTTTGCAATTGGTGCACAAGAGACGCCCAGATCTTAATTTGCTGTCCTGCCTCATCAGCTGTTGTGTATTTTCATTTAGAGTTCTCTCATCCTGTGGGGAAGCGTGTAGTTTTTAATTTGAAGTTACAGTAAATTATAAAACAGGAGCAATATTTTCGCTGCAGGAATATGAAGGGATGTCTTCTACCTTCTCGGTATGTCGGTCACGTACAGCGTACTGTAAGCTTGGATTAGATAACACGTCTGGGAATAGGCATCAGTA